CCCCAAAACCCCAAAACCCCAAAACCCCAGAAAGAGATATAGAACATAAGCTAAAGAATTAAATCAATTTAAAATTAATGGAAGTGATCGACTAAAAATACATAGACATGTAAGTTGATTAGCTCAAGGGTCATGTCTAGCAAATGAAGGAGAAGTATGATTAGATGAAAAATTATAACACAGAGCTAAATGAAAAACTTCACCGTCAAATGAGGAAAGAGGCCAGAATGAGAGAGGAACAAAAATAGGCAGTTCTATAGGCAGAGACAGTGAACATGATGACAAAATACTAGTTAGTTTTTGTAAAGATGGAAAACTAATTTGCTAAGATCTTTAATTCAAACAAACTAAGAAATTTAAAACTCAAATAGGAAGCTTTTTTCAATGTAAAGACTCAAGCATAGATAAAGGGGTAGTAGCAAAACTTTAAAATGCATCAAATATATGAGAGATTCAGAAATAAGATTGTTACTTAGCTAATTCATCGCTATCAGAAGCAATAAGTTAAGCAAAAACATTTGGCTTTGCAAAAATGGAAGTAAAATGCATTATTGCCAAAAATTACAAAGTAAGTAGAAGAGTCTTAATTGAAGGATATGGAAATATTGAAATCGAAACTTATAACCAAGGAGAAAGAGCTTATAGAGAAAGAATAATAGATAAAGTAGAGAGAGGGACAGTTCAAATAACTCATGCAAGATTACAAGCGATATACCTAGAAAATAGATGAGTAGGAGAGCAAGGAAAGAATGATTAGTCAAGAAATATAGGGCTTAATCTATAAAAATACTACTAATGCAGTTGAAAACTAAAAAGGAGTGAGTTCGATATATCAAAGAGCTCAAATGCTAGAACAGTCATTGCAATAACTTAAGCGTGAAAACAAATCACTTAGAGAAAAACTTGAAATGACCGAATTCAATATGCAGTCATTCATAAGAGAGATGGGAGGCATGCTAGATTAACATTCATTGATTGATACCATTGGAGATTTAATGAGTGATCATTTTCCCACTAGCTCAAGAGCAAAAAATGATGAGGAAGGAGGTGGTAGTACAGGTGGTTCAATAAGAAGAACAAAATAATGAAATTTTGTTAATTTAATCGATTTAGCCTTAATATAATTCAAAATTTAAAATCTTAAACTAAAAATATGAATCCCTCAAACAAAAGTATTTCATTATACCGTTAAACCCACTTTCAATTAGATTTATTTGTTACAATTAGTGCTAACGATATTGACCTAGATAGCGAACTTGCAGCCTTAGACAGAACCTAATTAGGCTTTTATATTAGTGTCGGCACTAAACTACTAGATGTTTTAGTTTTATCCTCAGGTTAGAATACTGTTAAAGTTCCTTTATCAAGCCCAGACTCAAAAGATAAAGTGATTGTGATCGTCAAAAGTTTAGGAAGAGACGAGGTCAAAGTTGGTAGTATAAGTATTCCTTAGGAAGTGTTTTTCAATGCAGGTGAGAGCAAGCATAGATAATGGATAACTCTTTTCGATCATCTAGATGATGATGAATATGATGGTGAAATGGGAGAAAACGATGATGAGCAGCCAAGAGTTTTATTTACCTTTGACATTACATAAGAGAGTAAATCTTAGAAGCCAGCCCCAACTCAAACGTTAACCCAGCCTGCAAAGCCTAAACATAACCTAAATCAAGGAAGATCTCCTGTAAGGGAGCCAGTAACTAAGGTTGAATCGAAAAAAACTGAAATCACAAATAAATCTCAACCATAGACCTCTGTTTAACAGCCAACTACTATGACAAGAAGACCTCTAGGATAAAACAGGTCTCATGCAGGCAATAATGCCGTTAGCAGACCATAAACTTCTGCTTCAGAGTATAAATAATAAAACCCTTAATAAAATGTTGCGATGACAACTCCAACTCCTCAACCATAAATTCTATAACAGTAGTAGCATTAGTAGGCACCAATTTAGACTTTACCATTTAAATAATCTTAAGCTAATGCTGATGATTTTGATATACAAAGAGAGCTTCAAAAAGACCCTTCAAAGAAATACAAAGTTGCTCAATTGTAAAAACTATTAGATGACAAACTTTCATTTTTAATCAAAACGATTAATCAAAAGTAAAAGGAGAATTTCAACATTGAAGATGAAGTACTTAATAGATTGACATTGTTAAAAAGCTTGAACTCTGAAATCGAGCAAGTATACAAATAACAAGGAACAAATCTTGCTGAACTGCAGAAGAAATTTCACAATGTTGAAGCATACCATAGTTCGATAATAGAAAATGATGAAGAGAAGCATGCAGCAGAGGGAAAAATAAAGGAATTAGAAAAGACTTTTTAGGCTTTCAGAGTTGAAGTTGAGAATGTAACAACTCAAAATGAGAAACTTAGTTTATAGAAGGAAGAACGACTGGCAAAAGATCTCAATTCTAGAGAAACAGTAGACAGTAAGGAAAACCAGCGATTGAGAGTAAATTTAGAGGAACTAATTGTCAAGAGACATGATTAGTTAGACTAAGAGAGAGATTATAACAGAGACATTTATCAGTTAGCAAAAGACTACAAGAGAAAGGTTGAGGAATTCAATAGCATATTGATATCATACTCTAATGAAAGAAACGATCTTACTCACCAAATTCAAGTTTACAGCACTGATTTATTAGCTGAGAAGGCGTTTTTGGACTTAGATTCCTAAAGACAAGAAAAGTTCAAAAATCAAATAACCCTTTTGAAAGATACGGTGAAGAATCTTGAGTAATAGATTGAAGATAAAAAGAGCAAGGGAGAAGAACTGTACAATCAGCATAGAGATGCCCTTTCAGTCATTGAAGATAGACAAGTTTAACTTGAAAATCATCAAATAAGAATGTCAAGTAGTGATATTCTCAGGCTCTAACAAGAAAAAGCCGATTGTGAATATGACATTGAAAGGATAGAAAGCCTTTCTAGACAATATCAACAGCTTCCTAAGGATTTAAGAGTATGCGAGAGTGAGCTCATAAGAGCAAGAGACTAAAGAGAAAAGGTTAGATTGGAATTAGAGTAGATAAAGAGAAAGCTAGAGGTTGTAGTAGATGTAAGAATACTAGATACAGATCTTGAAGAGGCATAGCATTTGTGCAGAACTATTGAAGAGAAAGATAGAAATCTTATACTTTAGATGATGAGAGCAAGAGATGATGCTAAAAAAGACTGGCTTAAGAACTGGGTTAATACCGAAGTTCATGAGCTAATGAGAAGAGACAGAGATGATGTTAGAAACCATATTGAAATGTACTCCGATGATCTTTAAAAACTTAGCAAAATCATTGATAAATTCTAGCAGTTACAAACAAAATAACAAGAAAGATTCCAAAGTGAACAAGAGGAGCTCAGATTGCTAGAGAATGAGATGAAAATGCTAAATGATGAAAGAAAGGAATGTGAAAAAGAACTTAAAAAAATTGAGAGTGAGATGCAAAGACTCAAATAAGAACTTGAGAATAAGAAATAATTATCAATTTAAAAGGATAAAGAAATCGAGTCACTTGAGCAGTAAATTGGAAACAAAGATCTAGAAATAGATAGACTGAATGAAATACTTAATGAGAAAGATGATATCCTTTAGAGTTTAGAGGATAACATCAGACAAACTGGTGAGACTTTGGCCTCTTCACTTTACAGTGCAATTAAGGGTGATCTAGTAGATGAACTCTTAGCCAAGTACATTAACCTTACTCAATGTCCAGTTCCTATTAAGCGTTTAGGTAATGGATATTACTTATTTGGAACTAAAAAAATTTTCGCTAAGATCATGAATGGCAAACTTGTGATCAGAGTTGGTGGAGGATTCATGGTGATTGAAGAGTTTATTGCTGCCTACGCCGAACAAGAAATGAAGAAGATTCACTAAATGGAGTAAAACTCCTTTATGAATGAAGACTCTTCAACAAAGAACAAAGGCTACTCAAGTCTAAAGAAGAGCCCAAGAGCAAGTGGAGGTTCACCGAGAATTGAAAAAAAGATAAAATGATGATATTCATACTTAAAATAGCACTGAATTATATACTAAGCTAAGCTTTACTTATGTTGCATTAAATTCTTTCTTTACTAATTTTACATTCAAACTAGCTTAATTTTGGGGTTTTGGGGTTTTGGGGTTTTGGGGTTTTGGGG